AAAATCTAACTGAGCTAACAATATGTAGCGTCTCCATATTGACAAAAGTTTAAACATTAATATTTGTATGAGTGATCTAAGCAGCTTACTAATGTTAGCTCAAGTGAGTAGCCAAAACCTGGTTTTATTCATCCAAAGAACCAGACCAGCCCTCTATTTGAGACAGGCCTTTATTTGTCTAAATGTGTAGCCACACCAGGCTAATGAAAGGGACTGGGTGTTTATTTGGGACTGGGCTTTTAACTTAAGTTACGGTAAAAGTATTAATTAGCACAGCTTCAAACATTTGTTTGGGACGCAGTGTTTGAGTTCTCAAACGTTCTCAAACCTAAATGACAGATAAGGTCGTTTGCTAATAACTCCCAACATGACATATATGACTGTTAATGTTTTCACTTTTACACGTGGTTAATGTTGTGCAAACAGTCTCACTAACTTGGTAATGTTAAGGCAACAAAACTAGTCCCGCCCTACTATGCTGTGATTGGCTAGTACTAACCTAATCATGACCTCTTTGCCCTCAACCTATACTGCCTCCAACCTTGACACGATGATGTAATGAGCACTACACTCTTGGGGGAAAAAAAAAGTTGTGCGTTTGAATTAGCACTGGCATATCTCAACAATACATTTTACTGCTCACCCGCTCCCTTTGTACACAGAGATGTAGTTCTCCTCTCCTTTCCATGGTGTGAAGTCAATGCAGGTCTTCAGTCTGTACTGGTCAAACGCCTTCAGGATCACTCCCTTTGCATTCATCTCTGAAGTGCAACACAAAAAACAGATGAAAAAGCCTCCTGAATTGGTGCATATCCATAATAGCATGGTCAGCAGTGTGAGTTTGAGTGTTACCCAGATTGTCCTCTAGGTAGTAAGGGATGGTGGTCGGCCAGCGATACTTGTCTCCTAAGATGGAGTTTCTGCTGGGTGTCTGATGGGAATGAAGAGAACAACAGGTTGACAATCGGGTGGATAAAGGAAAGAGAGAACACAAGCTTGAAGCTCACAGATTCACTTAAATTGCTAGCTTTCCTTGATTGCCATGTAAATCTGATTTCTTTCAAGCCAATGAGGTCTTACTGGGAGACTTCATGATCCATGGTGAACCTTCCAGATGATGTTAGACAAGCCCTGACTCTGAACACCTTCAAGTCAAAGATAAGAGCGTTCCTTTTTCACACTGCCTACTCCACCCTGTAATGACTGCAAACTTAATTTTAAACTCCATTTTGAGTCATTTTAAATTACCTTTTTTTTATCTTTGCACCTCATGTCAGCACTTTTGCTATTTTAAATTGTGTTTTTTATTTAATTGTAAATGATTTGGTGATTAATTTTACCTCTTACATCTTTTTTTTCTCTTTTCTCTTTTATCATAAATCTGTATTCTTTGTTATGTTTTATATTTTATTGCTCTGTAAAGCACACTGCATTGCTCTTCTGTATGAAATGTGCTATACATATGGGGCTCTCATCTCCTGTATAAAATTAAATGCATGCATGAATTTTTTGTTTTATGTTCTTTTCTTTTGTCATGTTTGATTTTGTTGTTTGACATATGATGTTAAAAGGATCATTTTTCAATGGTATATAATGTTTATCTATACAATGTTCTGTTATATTTGAAATACAATCAATTAAAAAAAATAAATATTAATATTTATAATGCTTAAGAATATTTAAATATATTTAAATATCAAATAAATTAAATATATTTAATAATATAATATATAATTAAATAAATAAATGTCAAGGTTTGCAAAAGTTATATTTTTCTAGCGATATTATTATTATTACACAAATTATCTGAACTGTTTGAGAAAAGAAAATACCTGTTTTATGCTCAATTATCCACATAAGCACGCAATATTAACTGAATCAAAATTAATGATAGAACTAGGTAATGTCTAAGGATCATCTGTGACTATATAGAGGTATAATATCAGGTGTGCACCGATTTTTCTGTGCTCCAAATGTCCAATCACACAAACAGAATTTAGACACAAACATCATACTGTACTCTGTACGCCTGAATATACAGATCACTGAGAGTAGCAGCAGTTTTTGGTGTCTGTGCACACTAGCTTACTTCGTACATCTCGATATCTCCCTCCACCAGGTCCAGCCCAGCCGCTGCAAAGGGAAATTATATCAATTCATGAACATGCTCAGAGACACAGAGACAGATTATACATCAAAGCAAAACAAAAATAATATCTCCACAAACCTTTGTTGATGTCAAACATGTCCCAGTCATGACCATCATCGACGTCAGTCTCTGTGGATGGAGAATCAATAACATGCAGCTCAAAAATTGGAATACAGGATGTATAAAAGTATTTTATTAACATAATTAGTAGAGTACTAGTGCAACTAGCACTGCTCCCTGCACCACAGACGTGAAAAATGTTTACTTTGATATTGTCACATATATTTTCAGCTTATTTATATTAGATTTAAATTCTGAAATTCTGCATTTTTTGTCTACCTTTTGACTGTCACTAACTTGAAAAACATCCTGATATGTGACTCACCTATATCACCTGTTAGCTTAGCCGCTGCCTGGTACACACATTAGAAAATAAAATCGTAATCAATGTCATTGCAACGTCACTGTTTTGCACTGGAAATATGATATGGTTGTTGAAGTCACATAAAATGCAGAGGCTCACATTTACCAGTCCCAGGCCAAACAACAGAACAATCCACCTGAGGTCCATGGCTCCAGCTGCACACACACTCGACCTGCCTCAGCCCAGCTGTGTCTGAAAAAATGTCTTTACTTAGTTTTTGTACAGAAGAAGAAACACTGCAGAGCATGCAACATTCACATGATCTGATTTTTACAGCTGGGGTTGAGAGAGATTACATAGCTGTCAAATTAATTATTAATTTAATAGTCATGATTAGCTTATCTAAGCCTTGTAGCCACACTAATAAACATATACTGGTGCAGGAGGTTTTCAAAGTTCAAACAAACAGTACTCATAGACACAGACACACAGACATGACCTTACCTGACAGTCCAATCTGGTCATATTGGCAGTTTTACTCAAGTGGCAAAAATAAAGCCAACGTGGAAGTGCCAAAAACTGCAGTTCCTCAGTCGGCCACTTGAGGCTGAATCCAAAAGTGAGTCAATCCCTGCCTACTGTACTGACTTGCTGCTAGTGGCGTAAGGTAGCTACCACGGGCCCTAGACTAGTGCATGCTAGTTACTAGCTACAATGTGCACACACCACGGGCAACTGTTGAAGTTGAGAAAAAAAGCCAAAGAAATCTAATTTATGGAGGTTTGCTTTTTCCCTCCTGTTCATGTCTCTCTGTCTTTTCTTACAACTAAAAGACACAACTGCTCGCCATACATGCAGACGTGCTCAGCTCGACAGTCTTGACAGATTCTGCACCTAAACTAGCGTCTGTATCGTATTGTCTAGTCACATGATCAAATAGAGACTTGACATCAGACAACATGAACATACATGTTACCAACAATCATCATTGCATATCTGTATATGACAAAAATATAAAAGGAATTAATCATTATTAAAGTGAATAATTTTTAATATATACGTATATATAGTGATTTCATTTTTTTCATAAATTTTGTTATAGATTGCTGCAGACTGTTTTACAAAAAAAGTAAAAAAGAAAAGAAAGAAGAAAAAAGGAAATCATGACGGAAAGGGTTTGTGTTTTTGACGGCATATGGCCTATAGTAAATGGCGCCATTTTTAATTTAATGTGAGTTCTTCTTTGAACACAGGTGGAGTTCAGAAAAGTTACCTGAACTGTTGCTTTCAGTGTTTTAGACACTTCCAAATCATTTTACCATGTAATGTCCTGGGATTCATAGTAAATATAGTGTATGCGATATGTACACAATAATTTTTTTTATTATTTTTTTTTTTTTTAAGTTTGAAAATGTTTCACCGTACGGAAGCGTATTGCTGCCAAATCAATGAAAAAAAATAATGGATCAGTATTACATTATAACGTGAAAAGTTTATTGTTCTAACAAGAAGTTTTTCACGTTATAACAATATATTTTCATGTTAAAACGTGATAACTGGTATTGTAAGAGCATGAAAAGTTTCACGTTATGATAGCACATGGCTCGTTGGTCTAGGGGTATGATTCTCGCTTCGGGTGTGAGAGGTCCCGGGTTCAAATCCAGAACGAGCCCATATTTCAGGGGTTGTTCAAGTCTGCACCAAATATCAAGCATGGACTGGTAGCTAGAGAGGTGTCAGTTCACCTCCTGGGCACTGCTGAGGGTGCCTGACCAATGCAGCCCCCTCACTTTCACATCTCTCCACTTAGTGCATGTATAGGTCCTGTTTTCAGCAAGAGTGGAAAAATTGAATTTCCCCTCAGGGATTAATATAGTATATAAACAAACAATATAGTCTCATATTATCACATTATAACAATATAGTTTCATGTAAAAATGTGATAACTTATACTGATTGATTACAAGATAAGTTCTCGTGTTTTCACGTGAAAATGTATTGTAATAATGTAAAAAACTTCTTGTTAGAACAATATACTTTTCACGTTATAACGTAATACTGACCCTTTTTTTTCCCTGGTGTGGCAGCAATATGTTTTTTTATGTTTTTACGTTTCTGGCTGTGGTAACTGGTGTAACTTCGGTGATTTTTATGTTTTGGCATGTTTTGTTTTCTTCACACGAGTGGTAAAATAAATACAAAATACAACCATTCACATGTATGCCCTTCTCCTAAACCAGTTTTATTTTTTTTTTGTTTAAACTATAAGTTCTTCCCCAGTGTAAAGAAAAAAATTGACATGCCTCCCACTTTTTGCACCACCCATCCCCCCTCATAAGTAACGAACAGTCCCTTAGTACACGGTTTTAATGTTTTCCCTGCTGGTGTTCCGCCTCCAGTCCTGTAGGGGGCGATAATGCGCCTCCAAGCGGGCTGTCTAACCGCCGGTGAATCAAAATAAGCAGAAGGAGAAATACATTTTGAAAAAGTGATTTCAGACAGTTACAGATAAGAGACGTTAAGAGTTAGAGATGTTAACTTTGAGTTACATTTGGGTCTATTTTAATTTTTTGTTGTCGTGTTGAGGTTGTTACAGTTACAGTTAAGTTAAAATAACACAGATGAGTGTTGATAAGTTTCAGTTAGCCTCGAGTTAGCCAGCTAGCTGCAGTTAGCCTACTCTGCTAGCTAATGTCTGTTAGACGGGCTCTGGTGGACTGTGTTGTGTTGTCTCTGCAAGATGCCTGTGTGTTTTATCCGTGCTGCAAAGGCTGCTTTTCAAGGATTGATGCTGAAGGACAGGACACGACGAGGTAAAAAAAGATTATTCCAATACTTTTAACTTTTCTGTGGCTAATTAAAGTTGTTCAGGTTAACTGACATGAACAGCTTAACTTTATGCTGTGCTACTGGCAAGTTTATTTGGAAGTAGGTAATTATATAAAGTCTTTAACTTTTCTGTGTGTGCTTAAAATAGAAAACGAATTGATTTCTGCAATGCAAATAACACTCCTGTCTTCTGTGTCTTTTCCACCTCAGATGCAGATGTGCTAAGTGTGGTTACAGCTGTGTGAGGGAACAGGTTGACTACAGGTATCGTCTCTCATTGAGGGTGACCCGGGACAGATGCATATTTGGAGTGACAGTGTTTGGGACCTGTTTGAACCAATTCTTTGGCATTCATGCAAGTGGTTTACAGAGGTGAGCAGAGGACATCATCTTTCAAGCAACTCCAGATTTCTGTAATTTATTACTCTGTCAACTTTAATCACTCTTGTATTCATATTAAAGGAGCAGTGAGTAGGATTTAGTGGCATCTAGTGGTGAGGATTGCAGACTACAACCAGCTGAAACTGCTCATGTGTGCTAGGTGTAAACTCCAGGGGCAGTATTCACAAAGCTTCTCAGTAGTGACAAGATTCTGAGTAACTTTTTAGAGTTGTGACGTTTTCTCAGAATTTCCCCTTTAAGTTAAGACTAGGTCCTTGAAAAGATAAAAGGTATTCACAGAGCATCTTAGACCTGAAAAGGTGAAAAACTGTTAGGAGCAGGGAGGACTTTTGAGAGGCTTCAGAGTTTCAGAGGTGGAAATGGTGGAAACACAAAGAGGTCGGAGAAATATTCTTCAAACACTGGATGGCAGTGAGTAAATTAAATGCTACAGATTAGATCATGCAGGAATAATATTTGTAGCCGATACACACACATTACCCACCCAGTGTAATTATGCTATAACGCCAGAAATAAAGTGATCACAACACCATGATATTCGAAAAACCGTAAAACACAACAGTGCAGCAGTGATGACTTGGGGCTGTTTCGACCTTCCATCAGCAGAATGATCACAGTAACAGTGACAACACTTTCACAGTCAGCAGTTCATTTCATTTCCACTGGGTGTCCTCACATCTTACAGGCTCACAAAAGGGTGTATCTGTGTCACCTATCAACCACACCTCCTCATTAAGGTACAAGTTTCTGTCCCTTCCTCGCTCAGAGTTGCTTTGAGAACTTTCCTAAATCACTCGAACTATCCGGAGAATTATCTGCAGAGGTCTCTTCCTCTCCAAAACAATAAGGCCTGTTGATGTAAACCAGTAAAACTCTCTATTTAGATATAAATGGGTCATTCTAAGGTAACAAAAACACAACAATTCTTATTTTCATGTAATTATACATTACAGAAAACACACTTATTATATTTTATTCCACTTCTGCCAATATATCCCCATAAATCCTACGCACTGGACCTTTAAGTATGAGCATCATTTTTGTCTTTCGGTAGGATTGAATATGATACTTGTTGTAGCATTATCAACCACAAAAACCAAAATTCTCTCAGGTTTTCAGGGCATTTAAAGATATCTTAAACATGCTGTGTATCTGAAGCATCACATCATTCTGTGTTGAACATTTAGACTGCATTTTAAACACCGTACAGACACAAGTCTAATTTAAGTGACCTCTTCAGTTACTATCTGACATTATCTTTGTACAAGTTTCAGTGTGGATTGCTCACTTGTAGATACTTCCTGTTCCACATGCAGCATTACTCTTGGGTTTGGTGGGAGTATATGTTGCAGAGGTTCCCCTGGGCATTTTCTTTTTCACATCTTGTAGTTGTTAGATGATGGTAAACAACAGATACAGCCTCTGCAGTGTGAAACAGCACCTCTGCTCTTTTTTACCCGAATGTTTTAATTTAGGAAAGTGTTTTAAATTATTAGTTCTTAGAAGTTTTTAGTGTCAGGTGAGGTGACGTAACTCTGCTATAAAACACTGATGTGGCTTTCTGTCGTGTCTGTCATGTTGTAGGCTGGTGGAGAACTCGGACGGAGCATCAGACAGATCCACATTGTTGGTGAAGGCTGTCAAGGACTGTTTCATTGGCAGACGTTTCATCTTCGGTATAAAGGTATGTGTGCGATTGGGTGTTGCTCTATTTTGTGCATATGTTGGAGGATAAATAGCAAAGAATTGCAGTAAACAAATGGCTAACCAGCTTTGAGATCATTTAGAAACAGCGCCACCATTTCATAGTCTGACCTACAGAGAGGTCTGACAAGTTCATTCTTAAAGTGTAAAACATCCCATTTAGTATCTTGGTCACATCTCTTTAAAAAGAGAGTAATGCTGTGTCTTATTTCAGATACTTCTGTTTGTACATCCAAATGTAGTACACTGCAAACACTATGTACTAAGTGTAGTTTTGTCTCAAATCAAGCATGGCTGTTGTGCACTTAAAATAATGATCATGAAATTTGGATAGATCATATAGTTACGCCATAACACATGTAACATCAATACCTGATAATATAATGTGCCGCTGTTAGCTAGCTAGTGAGCTTATGTGCAATGCTTTGGTGTTCACAGCGGTAGTTTGCCGCCATTTCATGAGTAGGACTGCCACGCTTAGTCGACTAATCGATGACTAATCGACTATTAAAATAATCGGTGACTATTTTAGTAGTCGACTAATCGGTTTGAGTCATTTTTCATAGAAAAGTACTATAGAAGTACCCCAAAATACTGTTATTGCAGCTTCTAACGTTCAGATATTGGCAGCTTTACACACTCTCCCTTGACTGTGAACTAAAACCCTTTGGCTTGAGTATTAAACAATACTTTAGTTGATTTATTTTTTGGGTTTGGGTTTGACAGTCCGATATTTTTCAACATTTTAACACATTTTTCGATGAAATAATTCGTCGACTAATCGAAGAAATAATCGACAGATTAGTCGACAATGAAAATAATCGTTAGTGGCAGCCCTATTCATGAGTTTGAAATTTGTTTGTGGTCCTGCCCCTTCCACTACGAAGGCAGTTAGGTGACCATTAAGGGTGAGAAGTATCCTGACCATTTTGGGTGCACCATGTTGGTACTCATAGTGCACTGCATTTTGTCATGACAGTTTGACTCTAACCATGGATAATCCAAAGTCCGTCCATCCCTACAGGTTAAGAGTCTAGGTGTCATCCTGGACAGTACACTAACATCAATAATGTTACTCGATCTTCATACATTAATCGTCTTCGCCCATCACTTACACCTCAGAGTGCTGCTATCCTTGCTCATTCTTTGGTTACACCTTGTATTGATTTTTGCAATTCTGTCCTCTTTGGTCTTCCTCTCAAGTGTCTTCATAAACTCCAGTTGGTCCTGAATTCAGCTGCCCGTATCATTACCAGAACCCCTTCCATAGATTATATCACTCCTGTTCTCCAGCAGCTTCACTGGCTTCCTGTGAAATATTGCATCAATTTCAAAAGATTCTGCTTCTCACCTTGAAGGTCCTCTCTTACCTGTCTGAACTCTTCTATATCTACACACCCTCCTTTACTCTTAGATCCTCTTCTGCACTCCAGCTCACATCATCCTTCAGCCATTCTGCCCCCCGCCTTTGAAACTCTCTCCCCCACAACATTCGCAATATTGAGTCTCTTTTCACTTTTAAATCCCGTCTGAAAACACACCTTTTAAGCTGGCATATTCGGTCTGATTTATTGTTGACACACATATTACTGATGATGATTTTATCAATTTTATACCTAATAATTATGATTTTGTCTAGTCATTTTATTAACTTTTATTTTATATTACTGTATTGTTCGACTTTATGATCTATGGATACAATGCTTCTTGTTTTTTTGTTTTTTTACTGTGTCGTTTGAAGTGTCTTTGAGTGTTCTGAAAGGCACCTATAAATAAAATGCATTATTATTCTCAATGTGAACGCACTCATGCAGTCAAAATGACAAGTATGATAGAGTATCTTTTTTTAGGCACAGCATAAGAGTCTACAGCCATGCTAACGGCTCCGTAAAGCTCCCCTCCAGTTTAAATCATGGACACAAGGTGTTGCTCTTCATTACGGGCATTTATGAACACAAACATGCCACAAAACATGCTGTGAGAATTAAAATAAATACACAAAATCATAACACAACTAAAGCTTGCATACTCCATAAATTTCACAGCCATAAACAGTTAAACCTGCAGAAAATGAACTTCAGCGTTTACTGAAATAGGGTGGGATACTACATCTCTGTTATGTGAACAAGCATTTAACTGTTACAGACCCCATCAGCGTAAACAGTAGGCACAATGCAGAAACAGATAACTTAAGTTTTCATACCTCATTTGTTGCGTTAAGAGCAGAAACCTCTCTAAGTGTCTTCACAGCTCGGTCGTCACAATGTATGTTCATGCAGCAAAGTGACTTTACTCATCATCCTTAGCACCCGGCAGGTATAGAGTGCAGCTTTGAATAAAGACACAAAGACCAGAACACCATGCAAACACAAAGTATAGGTTCTGCTAAACAGGTCCTTCCAGATTCATATATCCTTACATTATTCTTACTTACCATTTTTACTTCCTACTTATTCTTAATATTATATTTACCTTATATTCTTACTTTTTACTTATGTCCTTAATTATACTCATGTTAATTAACAAAAAATATTCTTTAATTCAACGTTAATTAATGAACTAAACAGTGTAACTGACTCTGATTGCAGCTGCAGGTGCTCTGAGCAAAATGCTAAAGTTGGCATATTAACATTCTGATGTATAGCAGGTACAATGTTTATCATCCAAGTTTAGCATATTACATTAGTATGAATTTATTAATTAGCACATAAAACAGTACAGCTGAGGCTGATGGAAATTTCATCAGTTTTGCTGGTAGGTATTCTGGCATTAGAAGAAAAAATAGTTTTGACCTGATGATGGCAAAATAGGAATGGTTAAAGGACCGACAAAGTGATTACATTTCATTCTCAGTGGAACACAGACTTCTGTACCAAATTCCGTGGCAATCCATTCAACAGCTGTCAAGACATTTCACAATAAAACTCAGACTTTTTGGTGGCAGTAAAGGAAAAGTCACCAAAGACATTAGAGTTTGTCTTTTGGACACCACAGGTGCTTGTACAAAATATTTTGCCAATCCATCCAGTAGATGGTAGGACATGTTTTTTTTTAAATTTATTTATTTAATTAGGACAATGTACATTAATCAACATATCAGCAAAAAGCATCAATATAAATATGCCGGAGTTAGCACAGTTGATAAATTTCATCCGTTGTCCCAAGGCAGGTATAAAAAACATAGAGACAATACACCATGACAAATGGATAAAACATGTAGAAATCTTACACAAAAATAAGTCCCGATTCACATAAAGGTTAAAAGTCCATACACAAAATAGAAAAGATGAGGAGGTTACCCATGAGAGCAGGCCTGGTTTATTTTCAACCACTGTTTAAGGGTCTTTTTAAAGGTGGTGTAATTGTCCCAGTTTCTAACATGAGCTGGCAGTGTGTTCCAAGACTGTGTTGCTCTGATGGAAACCACCATTTGGCCAAATTTAGTCCTGCGCCATTGTACATCATAGTCTCCTCTGGTCAGTGCTCTGGTGTTTACTCTGGAAGATTTTTTCTTTATGAAGTTAAAACTTTGACTTGTTGGTGGCATGACAGGAAACATCAAACCAAGGATCACCAGAGTTAGTTAGATTTTATGGCAGTTCACCAAATAGTTATATTTCAGTTGGGTGGTGGTGGAATAACCAGCCGACTGACCGACAGTGCCGTCCCCAGAGTCATGCTGCCAGTATGGCTTTAAGCAAATCAAAGTGTTACGTGTTTCTGTAAAAAAAAAAAAAAAACAATCTTGGTGGATACTTCTTGCTCTCAACTATCCCTGGTCTTTTCTGTGTCCTTCAGGTATCCGAAACAGAAAGTGCACCTTGGTTAGGAGGACCTGTTTCCAATGGCTTCAGCAGTAATGAAGTGGTCCACTTTATTGCCAGTCAGATGCTTCTTCCCAAAGCTACCGGCCTGGGTGGCTGCACGGTGGTCAGTTATTATCGGATCCTTCTTCAGAAAGCTGTGGAATATGAGCAGGGATTGACTGCCAGACCCCCAGCAACAACCCTGCTGCTGATTCCTCGCCATTTTCCAGCCAGCAGCTTCAATAATGCCTCGCTTTCTGCCTCAGGTCTTCTTTCCCAGTCACTTCAAAGGTAACGGCTTTCAGAAGCTACTGGTGACAGTCGCTTTCTGTCTGATAATTGTTAGTATTTTATAGATGTGTAAGGGAACACAGAAGTTAAGTATAGTTCGGTGCAAGATCGGTACAGCAATAAAAAAACTCAAAGGCGTAAGGGTAGCTCAAAGACTTCTGTGTTACAGTAAACAAACACTTTCCCAAAAGATAACAACAGGCTGTAAACTAAAAAGCATCTCTTATGATATGAACTGAAAATACAAATAAATAGAATAATAAAAAATACAACTTGTGCATTAGAAGGAGTGTTACAATTACTTCCACCGTGGCTATATTTAAACATTCAGAGCACCCAAACATCTGTCATCCTGGTGAACGGTGAATCTGGGTGATGCCGTCGAATGTGCGTTAGCATGTTGAATGTGTTTCCATTTACATCCCCTAAAACGATGGAGCAACTGTAACACACCATCTTAGTTTTATTTTAGGGTTCATGCAGATCCTTAAAGCCAAAGATTCGTGGTGAGATGAGCAGGAACAGGCCACTACTCACAATGCACTGTTCTACAACGTTCTAAAAACCTCCCGGTTCACACCAATGCAACTAGATGAGATGGTTTGTCATCTCTATGCAACAACTCTCTGTACTTACGTTCTGATTTGCAGCTTTCCAGGCTTATTTTGTGGCTGAAAATAACTTGTAGCTTCTTAAAATATAAATGAGGATAGTGATAGTGAGATACTGGCTACAGTTGTATTTGTAGTAATGAGATGCGGAAATTAAATGGCATTTAATTCGTTTTATGGCCATTACATTACATTTATTTAATTGTTCACTCTTGTGACATGTCTTGACAGTTGCTTTTGATTTGTATCCTAGTTCACAGAACCAAGATGGCTCCCTTGCTCCCACTCCTCCATGGGAACAGTCACTAGGACTAGTAACTTCATCAGCAGAGCAGGAGGATGACAGCAGCACCCAGGACAGCGGAAATGAGAACAGCAGACAAACACCACATCATGCACAGAGAGGCTGCTCACAGATCCCTAAAGTCACAGAGGAGAGAGCGCTGTCAGCGCTTCTTTCTTTAGAGTGCAGTTCTTCCAGTGGTCCGTCATTTGCCAAATACCCGTTATCATGTGTTGAGAAAACTGTTGGAAACACCCCCATCCTGAAGACTTGGTTCAGTCCTCCTCCACCTGGCCACAATACCTCCAAGGATTTATCTACCAAAACATTTTTGTCAGACTCCCTGGCTTGGGAAGATTTGCCTTTCTCTGAGAGTCTTTCAGAGTTTTTGTGTGAGGAAAACAAAGACTTCAACAAACAAACTGAGCTACATCAAAATGTGCAAAATCAAAAAGAGACATCAAAAAACAACCTGGAAATCAATTCACAAGACAAGAGCGTATCACATAAATCTGTTTGTCAAAGTGATCCGCAGATAACAGACAGCCACTCACAGATATTACAGGATATCACCGACACACCTGCACCGAGTGGAGGTGACAGAGATCGTTTATCTGACCAGGTATATAAGGACCCTCTTGGATGTGCAAGCACAAGTCAAGCCAGAAACGTTTGCTTCCATGAGGGTAATCAGGAGTATAAGAAAGAACGTTCTCTCTCTTTTGAAAATGAAGAGGAAGAGGAGCTCGAAGGGGACACCTATAATTGTTCGGCGGACTTATTCGGTAGCTCACTTGTAATCGATGTGAGCACAAACAAGCTCAACACACATGCAGAAACTGACCGGACAACCACAGAAGCTCGCCCGCCGCTTCCCGAACCAAGAAAAAAGCACATGAGGAGTGAAAAGGCGACACATTTAACACCTGACAAAGTGACTCTGAAAAGTAAAAAATGCATTAACAGACACAGTTTAATTCCAACAGACACACAAGATCTTGACTTCATCCCTGCCTCTCAGTCCACTCCCATTGTAAAAGTAGGTGTTGTGACAGGCTCACACAGAACCTTGACATTAGCTGAAGTCAGTTCACAACCTGACAGTCAAGATTCTGGTGCCTTTAACAGATGTCTGCCTGAATTGGACAGTAAAAAGAGCACTACCTTTTCTCTGTGTAAATTAAACTGTGTCAGTGCTAACCAGCTGGCCCAGAGTGTCAGAGAGTCTACCAAAGAAAACTCTGCGTGGAGTTTGACACCAAGCCGACACAGATTTACCCCAAAAAGGAGGTTCTGGAAACCAAACAAACATAAAAACAATCTGAGCGTCCAGATAGGGGCTCCAGGGTCAACCGGAAGGATCCACCACAAATGGGACTCAAGTGATTGTGATGTGACTGTCTATGATTGTGAAGACAATGAAGTAATTGTTCCTCCAACTCCTGCTGCTGAAAGACAACTGAGTGCAAAGCTCAGAAGAAAAAGGCGGACTGGTAACAGCAGCAGTAACTTTGGTTGTTGTTGGGAAGGGCAGCAGGGAGATGGAGTTAACTGTAAAAGAACTCTTTTGGATCAAACTCTTTCATCATCACAGAAAGGTCTGGCACAAACAGGAAATTGTGACAGTGAGAAGGTTGATGAGGGGAGTCTGGATGGGTCTAATTGTTACCCCCTTAATGATGAGAATGAGGCATGTGATTGGTCTAGAGATCTATTCTCTGATTCGGTCTGAGAGTTTCAGGCCAGCAAACTATGATAGACCAGTGGTTCTCAAACAGGGGTCCCTGAGAGAGTTTCAAGGGGTCCCCAGAAAAATGGGGAATAGTATTTTTCAGTATTTAATTTGTTATAGAAGTGAGCCCGATCTGAGTAATCGTCATAAAGCTGAAAACACACTGGTACCCCCGCATCATGTGCCGCCCCTAGCACACACTGGACGTGTTGCACTGTAGCTTGTCAATAGACGACCACACAAAGTTGTTACTACTTTTACTGAAAGATCTGTACTTCCTCCACCTCTGTATTAGCTAATAATCATGTATGGAGAGCGCCTAATTAAACTTGATTTCTCACCTGAAGAGCCAACCTCCAGGGCTATGACTTGCCAATATCTTTTTGGTCATTGCCTTTATAATGACAGGATTATCATCATCGTCTTTCTCATACATGAGACACAGCAACACCAACAAAGTTCTCTTTATACATCAATGGTGAAGAGAGGAGTCGAGCTGCTACGGGAGCTGGTACGTACAAGAGAACAAGTGGGGGAAAAATGCATTTAATTCCAGGGTCGGCAAGGCTCATCCAGGAGCGTCAACGCGCGTCTAGCTGCTACCGGTGTGGGGTTGTACTTTGAAAATAATAGGGACGTATTTTTTGACGTGCAGCATTCTCTGCTGGTGTGTTTTAGCCTTAGATCACAGGTCTCACTTCCTTCACGGTTATCTCCTTAAAGGGAAATTTCGGTTTATTTCAACCTGTCTCCTATCGTCCTAAATGTGTTTCAAGTGACTAGTGACATAAAAATAATAGTTAGCATGTTAGCTGTTAGCCTAGATACAGCCGGGGCGCATAGTAGTGTCAGACCTGTTAAAACCTAAGTGAAAGGGCATACTTCAAGTGCAAAGTTAGTCCACTAAACAAGCTTTTTTTCCACAAAGACCGCCTCATATCGTTAGGATAAATGTCAGAGAACATATAGAAAACAACATGTAAACGTGTTGTCTTACCTTACCGGTGTGCTGCCATGTTTGTTTACCATTTAGCTCTGCTTTCCAAAGCGCAGCCGAAATATCGCGAGAACAAGCAGCGATCTCATACCATGCCTGAAATCTGGCGAGCTCTAGATAAAGCCCAGCTGGATACTACTCCAGGTGGAGGTGTCTCGTCCTCGGTCACATCCAGATGTTGAAAATAAGGCTGCAACCAGTTCCTTGCAACAGAGGCATTCCTCTTCTGTAGGCACTGGGGCACAGCATTCACAGGTACACCACCAATCTCCAGAGCTACGCAGCCTTGCAGCAGCCATTCCTCCTCTCTCGTCCTCTACCTGTTGCGCCTCTCTCTCTCTCCTCCTCCGTTCTTCAATTTCACAAAGCTCTTCGTCAGTGTATTCTGGCTCAAATAAATAAGGGCGGCCATCAAACTCTGCAAAATCAAATTCCTCCTCCACAAAGTCAAAGTCTGGCAAAAAGTCAGCCATTATTCTATAAATCTTTCATAAAATAAATGAATGAACTTTTCAGGCTACTGTCCGGTTCTGCCTTCCAGCTGTTGCTGCTTGTTCTCGCGAGATTTCAGGCATGGTATGAGATCACTGCTTGTTCTCGTGATATTTCGGCTGTGCTTTGGAAAGCAGAGCTAGATGGTGAACAAACATGGCAGCACACCGGTAAGGTACAATTTAGAGTTATCAGTTATCAATCAATTAACCTGCATGTCTTTGGACTGTGGGAGGAAGCTGGAGTACCTGGAGTATA